AATATTTCAAGTTAATATATAAAACTCCACTATTATTCTATAAGTCTGTTTTTTTCCTCTTGTTTGTATTTAAATAATTTATTTTTATGTTGTCTTTGGCAGTGGGTTCTAATTAATTTCATCGAAACCCGAGCCTGTGTGTTCTCGGCTGCGTACATTATTTGCACATCGAAATCAAGTGCAAATAAACAGTCGTAAATTAGTAGCTCCGGGAATTAATTAATATGAGCTTGGATCAAATGGCCGCAGCAGCAACAGCAAACCGAGAAGTTAAAGAAAAAAAAAAAGAAATCGTTCCATTTTTATTTTATTCATCAAATTGTTGCTGCTATTTGGTTTTATCTGTTTGTATTCTTGGAAACAGGAAATAATTAGGACTCCTCAAAGATTAATTAATTTGTAACTGCATGAGTGGCTTTACGAACAATCAGATTTTTTTTTTGCTCATCCATCTCCCTCCGCGTTTCTCCTACTCGATAATTGAACGATGCTGCACTTTAATTAATATACTAATTGTTTGTTCGACAATACCGGCAACGTGCAATAAATAACTGTTGAAGACGTTCGCAGAGGCGTGAAATTTAATTATCATTAGAGCGTACCCGTCGCTTCCGCCACCTTTTTCTATATATATATATAGTTTATATACAATTCTAGCTATTAATTACTGTCTACAGCGCAATAAACTTCTATCAACAATTTATTAATGATTACGTAATAAAAACATATGTCAGCAATTAAAAAAATAACTAAAATTTATGGAAAACATACAAAAATGCATATTCCAAATATTTCATGTAAATTGCAGCTTTTTTATATTTAGACAAAATATTGTTATTTTTCTGAATACAGGTATCCTCCGACTTACGAACTAGTTCCGTTCCAAGGAACTTACGAACGTCGGGAGAATTTAAAAAAATTCAAAATATACTTATTTTCCCACACTTTATCATGGTTTTTACTTTTATATATGTTAAATTCCATATTACTGACTGCATAAATTTGAAAAAATTATTAAAATGAAAAAAAAAATACTTATTTAGAAATACTTTTCAATGTAGACATGTAACAAGTTAAAGCTTTTAGAATTTTGTTCGTAAGTCCGGAAGTTAGATTTGATATAGATTTTGTATATGAGTGTGTTCATATTTCTCAATTGTTAAGTTGATTTAATTGTAGGAATATAATAGGTTAATGAATACGGTAATTATACGAATCTGGACAGTCGTCACTGATTACAAAATAAATGATTATTGTATACATTTGGAGTGGCGTTGAATTCAATTACCATTGGAGAAAACCCGGCGCATCTGCCACATTTTCGGTGAAGCATCAATCACGGAAGTAATCATTTCAAGACAGCACCGGAAAATTTTCTATCTACATGAAACGACATTAATTACATACAGCAATTTTACAAAATCACATACATCTTGTTTGTGATATAACAAAACAAAAATTAAAGTTTTTAATTTGATTTTTCAATTTTTGTACTTGTATTTTTTCATTTATATGTTTGTGAGTAATTAAAATAAGTTATTAAATATTTAAAAATAATAAATTTATTAAATATTAATTAAAATCGGAAATGTTGTTAAAAGAATAGTTTTCCATGAAAAAAAGAATTACCGCTCTTTTACGTAAGGATGAATTCCGGACGCGCGCGTTCCTCTATTTTCTACTGCTTTTGTCTCGCGCACAAAGCAATCAAAAAATGTGGCTCTGAACTTGCCGCTTTTGTGACGGGAACATATGGAAACATAGTTTCTTTCCCGAAAAAAATCGTTTTAGCAAACATCAAGAGTAGTTCCAAAGCGGAAATAGCGAAGCGCAAAAAAATGCTTGTATATATGAAACTCCGACAACATTCCTTGCATATTTAGTAATAATTGTTTAGTTACTGTTTGAAAGCACTTCTAATGGATTAAATTGGGTTTATACGTTTAGAAATAGTCCGAATTTAGCAAATAATGAATATCGAAATTAGTTATAGCCAGCACTATAACTAATTTACAACTGTAATAATCAATTTAGTTCGTTAGCAATGCAAAAGTCATTAGTTTTCATGCGAAATTTATCGCTTTCATCTCTGGGCCAAAAGGAACGACGTTCGTTTGATCAATATTTGCGTTAATAAGCGTGATGCCTGTAGGTTTTATCAGTGCAGTTCCATCAACCTTCTCTCCTATTTATCAATTTTTTTTTGTTCTCGTTTCTTTTCTATCCGTTTCCGATATTGGCTCATCCTGTGCGAGGCTTTTAAATATTATGAGCAATTTGGCTACAGCTACAAGAGTATCCAATATCCTCGACGGCACTGCACAAAGGATATTAATTTCGTCCAAATCCGCTGCGCTTTTGCTCTTCTATACAGACATATTATTGTACCAGTGGGATCATAGCAGCAAAGTGCTGCATGACTTTTCTTGCAGCAGGGAATCAATTTCAACTTTTCTCAGATGTTCGATTGCAGTGGAAAGCGCAGATTGCAGCCCATTTCCCAGGCCGAACAATGCAACATTACACCTCAGGCAATTAAGCCCAGCGAATTGCTTTTATCGCCGTTCGTGGATAGCAACCATTACGGTTCATTTATCCCGGCACCAGATCTTTATTTCTTCCTCGATCCACCGTCCTTCCGACTACGCCACCACTCCTGATCCCCATAAATCGGTCCTCCCACACTTACCGATTCCTTCTTCTTATATATTTTTTCTCTCTCTCATGTGCTCCAGTAATATCCTCTCTCGATGCGACCCTTTTCCTCACGTCAGAAGAAATATGCAGTTTCATTTGTAACGAGCGCGAATTAAGTTCGAGGAGTTTCCTGAAAACGGATTCGTGTTTGATTATTTCTTTTTTTTTCGTGTGCTTCGGAAGACCACTTTTGCATATATGCAGGGCCAAAGGATTCCTTTTATATTACGCAATATGTATGCAAATTTCGTTAGCGAAATTGACACATCGTTGCTTGCCATGATTTGCCGTTGAATTTTAAATCGTTCAAGATGAATTCCTTTTCTCTTTACTTCTTCCCTCGTCGACCATATACTGGTACCAGTATTTTCAAGAAATGGTTACACTTTCAAAAAAATATATACACTGTTTCATATTTAAAGTTACGAAATTATTAAGACATTCAATTTACTATAAATCTTCAAGATTCTCTAATGGAAATGTTGACTTATTTTTTCATCTTTTCATGTATTCTGATTACTAAGTAGTGCTAAGGTTTGTTAATCTAACACTTCCTTTCAATTACACTGGAATTATATATGTCCAGAGTTGCAAATCTGCGATATGAGTTGCTTAAGTTTAGTGAACTGTCAAACATCAAGTGCGGCAATAGGCGTTCTGTAAATTAATTAATTTCCGAACTTCTTCGTAAAACATAACGCAGCAAACACAGCGATTTGGTTACTTCCGTTTTACTTCATTCTCTGGCAGCAATATAAAGGGTTTCTTGTGGCAAGTTCCGAGCAAACAAGTTTAAATTAATTATGTTTCGACTAAGAAAATATTGCCTGAGGAAAACCTAGACTTTCATAGCGATGCGAAGCTCGTTATTATGGATTCCCATAGAGAAAAACCGATTTGCATACTTGCCCTAATCGAATTCAATCTTTTCTTTATTTTCTTTTGTCTCTTTATCCCTGTTCGAGTTCGTTTTTTTTTTGTTTGTTCCCTTCGAATTTGTCCGTTTAACCTTTGCATATTATCATTATTCGTGGTAAACGGATTTATCTGGGGCGCTGCATTTTAGCATATATTTTCATGGCTAATCTAAATTGACGTGTCTAACGTGCCTTGGCAGGTTTTCAAATTGTTTCCCGAGGGCAGGTCGCGATTTACTCCAGATTTTACGACGATGCGCTACAGCCTAGAGAAAGGTCATTAAATATTAAATAAATATTTATAATTCCCAAGTCAATTAGTGGATATTGTATATTTTATTACTTGGAACGTCGATATATTATTAAGAAGTTTATTATATTTATATATACAAAGTCTATTTAATCAATACTTGAAACGACGTAAATTGCGGTTGTTATCAAATTGCCAATTATAATGAGCCTATAGAGGAAAACAGTAACTTTAAACTAATTGTTCAGGTGGGTCATAATTCCTATTCTCAGGTAAAACTGAGACGATCATCAATTCCCAAGGAACGCGGAGCTCCGGTCGGATTTCGCTTCGAAAATTTCAAAACAGCCCTACGAAAAGTTTGCCCAAATACACTAAGCCCCTTATAATGATAAAACGCACATCCATCTAAATCAGTCCAAATATTGTGAAAGTGAAGAGTTTAGCCTCGAAATCATGTTATTTTCCAAATGGTTTGCGCCTCTTAATCGGCTGCTCTTCTTTGGGTTTTCATCTTTTATTCATCGAGGACAGATTGAAACCGCTCCGAGCTCGAAACGATATTAAAACATTTTATGCTACATTTCTCTCGAATAGTTGCTCTTTCTATTGTTTTTTTTTTCTTATTCTGCTCTTCTCACCAGCGTTTCTCTGCCTGTGCACTATCGCATGCATATTTTGCAAGCTCTACAAACATGCTCGTAAAACCTTGTATCTGCGGAGTAACGAAGGGATGAAAATGTAATGGGGTATTAAGGAAAAATCGCGACTTGAATATTCAACGCGGATCAACTGATATTACTTTGCGTCACCGTTCATTTTTTTCATTTTTTTTTTGGTATTTTTGCATAAACTCAATCTAGTTCACTTAGCCCTTTCAAGTCTCCAAGTGGAATTTAAATGAAAATAAATAAAATTGTTTATTATTGTAATATATTTGAGCTGCAGGTAAATTAATGTTTAAATAATTTAAATTCATTTAACGTGTATTTATCGATCATGCGGGGACAGGAGTCTCCTACGGAGATTTATGGATGTGGAGTTTGTCCCGTGTTCGGAAATCCCCTCTTGTACCGTTCGCGTAGCACGATTAATCAATGAACGCTCTTTCTTTTATGTTTTGATTGATGTTTCAGCGATGGAGTTCCTCAACAACATGACCAGCTTGAAGAAGCTTTCGGATACCGATACTGAAGACTCTTACACTCCTTACGCCTACAGGCCGGAAACCTACATAGTACCCGTAGTGTTTTTCATTATTTTCGTGGTTGGGGTTTTGGGAAATGGGACTTTGGTCATCATTTTCGTCAAGCATCGCGCTATGAGAAACGTTCCCAACACGTATGTAACGACTTTGAATTGCAGACACAGCCTTTACTGATAATCTGCTATCGTTTCAGCTACATCCTTTCGCTTGCTTTAGCTGATTTGCTCGTCATCACGACCTGCGTCCCCTTCACCTCTATTATTTACACCCTTGCTTCCTGGCCTTGGGGAGTCGCGGTGTGCAAGATATCGGAAACCGGGAAAGACGTCTCCGTCGGGGTCTCCGTGTTCACCTTAACGGCACTTTCCGCTGAAAGATACTGCGTTATTGTGAATCCCTTGCGTCGGCTTCAGGTACGATATATGCTTTCTCGAATGGAACGTTTCTCCGATATGCTGCGATCTGTTGCAGACTCGCCCTTTTTCCGTTGGCACCGCTATTTCCATCTGGGTATTGGCGATCCTCCTCGCTCTACCCGACGCGATCTTCGCCACCGTCATCGACGTCCCGGTCAATAATTCTTCTATAAAGGTCTGTACCCCTTTTCCCGACACTCCTTATAGAGACACCTACGCCAAGTACAGCGTCGCCGCTAAAGCCATCATCTACTACATCCTACCGCTCATTATCATATCCATCTTCTACATCCTCATGGCCAAGAAGTTGAATGCTAGCACCAAGCAGATGCCCGGCGAGATCCAAGGTCAGAGCGCTGCTCAGGCTAAGGCCCGCAGGAACGTCGCCCGCATGGTTTTGGCTTTCGTCTTCAGTAAGTACAAAAGTAAATAACGTAAAACTCTTCTAAAAGTTATTTTCAATTCCAGTGTTCTTCGTCTGCTTCTTTCCCTACCACTTGTTCATGATCTGGTTCCATTTCAACCCTTACTCTCACCAAAATTACAACGACTTCTGGCACGTTCTCAAAATCATCGGTTTCTGCTTAAGGTAAAAATCACACCAACAATAATCTACAGCAACAACTAAACTTATACCTTTACAGCTTCTTGAACTCCTGCGTCAACCCTATTGCTCTCTATTTCGTCAGCCGCGTTTTCCGTCAACATTTTAATAGGTACCTCTTCTGCCGTCGCCCTAAACGTCGCCCGATTAGAACCACTCCTTCCCGTAATGTCTGCGAAACCAGCTTCACCTCCACCTACAGACGTCCAACCCAGGTACAGGAACAACCATAACAAAACATAACTATAATTAAATTATACTTTGTTATCAGGCTATATCCTTCGACAGTCCCCGTACCCTATACCGCAAACCAGCAACACGCGCCGCTCAGCAGGAAACCGCTATGGTATCATTCGATCTACCTACCTATCGTGATTTCAGCAGGAATACTACCACAGTCGTTTTGCATACCGAGCAAACTTAAATTCTCGATAACCCGGAAACAACATAAAGCAGTTCTCTTGGGTTGATTTGTTATATATTTTCTCCCGGATATCAGGTGTAAAATTTTCGGTTAAGTTTCCTCAATTTATACCTAGGTTAATAAATATCCCATTTTCAATGATCAGTTCAATGTCAATTAGATTGCGTTCCAGTAATTTTGGTTACGCATTTGCCTTATTTTCGACAATGGAAATGATTAAGGAATACCGAATACTAAAACTACGACGAAAACATATTATGGTAAAACACCACCTAAACCGAATATGTTCTAAAACATATATTATATACATATAACAAACTCCACTGATATTACTAAATATATTTTTGTTATTGTTATATTTATATACATATATGCATATCATATATTTATTGATGTTACTTTTAAGGTATATATTTACATATAATAACAGCGTTATATTTGATGTTTAAATATATTCTAATATATTTTAGAACGGCGATTGCGGACTAAACTCATGTGGCTAAGGC